TATTTTTTGCTTTTATGTTTCCAGGTAATCAAAAATGAATAATCACCTTTGCTTTAAAAGCCTATACAAATCGTGTGTATGTCAACTACAAACCCATTTAACAATAAACATACCAATTATTGATGCTCATTGTCCCTTTGACGTCTTCTTGAACAAATATCCTTTTTTTCAATTAGTCTCCTCCTCAAACATTCAAAAAATTTTCATGATATCGAATAAACATAAATCTCAAAATTGGAACAACATTTTTCCAATATCTTAATCGCAATGTTCATCTTTTTGAAACATTTGGTATGCACCCAAAGTTTCTTGATGAACAGAACGCTTATCCACAACTTAGTCACCTAAAAAATATCCTTTACAATAGAGAAAGATCAGGAAATTGTATTTGAGGAGCAGGTCCCTATTGCTCGTCATACAGATCTGCCTCTTATTCTTCATTGTTATGGATATTCTTTTTTTTTGTACAATGCTGGATTATATAATCTCAGTTCTACCTTCTTCACATCCAGTTCAATGGCATTGTATTAAATCCGATAGTGATCTTCAAATTATCGATAGTTTTATCTCGATCTTCCACAATTCTGTTGTCTCTCTCAATGGAGCGAGCACTCAAATCAAAGACATTGACTAGGGTAAAACATATAAAAAATAGATTAGGAATCATCCCTATTTGCTCGACCATCTTGTGTTGGAGACAGACTGTTCGTGGCTTTGTCCTGCAGGTCCCTCATTACATGAGTATAATCCTGCTACAAGGATTTTTATCACCTCCAAATGGATAGAGAATGTATTGCGTCGTCAAGGTAAAAATGCACCAAATATAATTTGTATTGAGAATGACAATGCAAAAAAAAATATTTCATTTTCAAAGCAAACTTATCCATAGATAAGATAAATGTAAATAATGTACATATGGTAGAACAAATAGAAAAGATTAAGAAAAGCTTTTCTTAACATTTCTTCTTTTACGTCGAATATCAGTGAAGTAAAAAAAACTATGTTGACACATTTATTTTTTTTCTTTCATCCTTTCCTCCTTCTTTTCTCTATTGATCTCTTCTCTGTCACATAAATGAAAACAAATTTGATTGAATTATAATGAAAAACTGATATAAACAAACTATCGTATGAAAATAACTTTTATTATTTAAAAAATTTTCTTTTGCTTTTGTTCATTTTGCTTTGCATGTATGTATATATGTCAGAACAGCTTATGAGAAAAAATAAGAAAAATTTATATAAATAAGGTTTTTACTTTTGTTCATTTTAGACAATCAGATCTTAATGAAACACGAAATATTTCTCTTTGATTGAGCAATATGTTATATCCTCGTCAAATTAAATGATAAACAAATATTCATTTGTAAAAAACAAGAAAAAGAATTGTATAAATAAATTCGATAGATTACAAGCAACTTTAACTATTTTCGTTAGTAAATAAAGGTTTTATTATTTATATATTTGAATTTAAATGTCGTGTGTTTATTTCTATTGTAGTTAAATTACTCTTTGATTCAATCTGGACGATCTCAATGTACAATCACCAGTCACACTTATTCTATTAATATTAATAGTGAGAATAAAGAGAGATAAGATTGAACAAAGTCGATATCTTTTTTATTTTTTAGATAAGTCAAATTGCAATAATATGTCTATACTCAATGTCTTTTTAACAAGTGATCAACGTACAACATCTATCTTCACACAAAATTTTTTTCCGCTACTCTGTTGAAATAGATTTTTTTTCTATATTATACAGTGAAGTTAATTGATTAAAATACTCAATAGATGCAGATGATTGAAACACTCAAATAAAAATAAATAAGTTTAGATCGACTAAGAGAAGCAGACCTTGATATTCATACGATATCATCGATGTATAAGACAACAATTTTTCAAAACAGAAAATAACTATTCTCTAGCTGATAATACTCTGTCTGTATTGTTTTATTTGCATCTATATATGCAAGAAGATTTAACATAGATTATATGTAAATAAAGAGATCAAAACATCCACGAGATTATCATTAGATTGTTAAAACTAATGTTTTTTTTTGTAATAAATTTAAAAGGATTGTAAAATATCTTTACTGGTTTAATTAACAACTTTATTTTGTGTTTTACATGAAAGTTAATATTAATGTGCACTAATGAACATAAATTTTGATAGTCATTGTTAACTTCTCATGAAAATTTTATTCATGCTGATCAACGAAAAATAGATGATATATTCTTATACTAATAATGAATTAAGAATATGTTTGTATTGGTTGTCCTAGATAAAAGAAAGAGTACGAAAGAAAATTGAACTTCTTTTAGAAAAAAAGGTGATCGACAAGACTTAAGATGCACTTCATGTATGATGTTCGAGATGATCTTTTTAAAATTATGAAACCTATATCATCTTAGCATGGCTAATTTATCGAACGATATACTCAGTTGACTGATAGAATTTTTTATTAAGTAGATTCAGTTTTTTATAAATAGTCATATCTTGTCTTCATCATCATGAATACTATACTGACGATTAGATTTATTTTTTCAAAAGATTGCATGTGCTATATTGAAACAGCTATATTCATGTATACATGCGCATGTGTAACAACAAAACGAGAGTGCAATAGAGAGACAGAAAAAAAAGAACATATAGCTACGCGTTGACAAGAACGATATATTCGTATGGTTTCTTCTGGAAAATCGTATTTTTAAAATTTTGCTAGGGACTTGGGCATACTCTAAAGAGAAAATGTATGCTCTATACTCAGTTTTTCACACTCTTTCCAATGAAGTAACTCTTATTGTGTTTGCTTGAGAAAAAATTTTCGTGGGGGCCAATATGATTTTGCCGATTTTCAAAAGAAGTTGGCGTAAAATGGCGATAAATCGTATATAGTAAAGACATCCACGATAAAAGCGCATTTTATCACGATGATGACATGAGAAACAATATTTTCGAAATCGACGATTAATCAAAGCGATTAATCTTCATTTAATCACCGTTTTCCATACAGTATTTTAGAATTGCCAGTTAATTAGAAAAACTCTAAAATCTATCAAGTTGTGAATAAAATTACGTTTTTTATTCATTTTTATAACATACTCATTGAAACTCAAAGCTGAACACCGAATTTTATTAGTAGGGGCCTCGCTTTTGTTACAAAAATAAGATTGGACGATTTTAAATCATAGTCGAGCTGTAATGAACTAACTTCACAATTATTGTTTAGTTTAGTTTGAAACATGATGTTTATCATGGATAATCTATTTTAAATATATTTTTTGGTCGAATATTCTTTTTATTCGAATTTAATTTAGAATCTAGTTTCAAATGAATTTCTCGATCCTTGGCAAATATCAAACTGAAAAATTAAATTTCTTCTTCAAATTTAGATCTTTTAACATCACTTTTGAAATCATACTCTCTTTTTTAGATTTATACTTCCGTGCTGTGTTTTAGATGTAAACTTTATATACGAATGCGACAATTCAATCGATGACCATTTAAATAAACTATTCAGAATATCTATTTGTATTTATGGACATTTTTGTTTTTTCGATCTTTTTATTGTGGTCTGGTTTCATTGTGTGCGATTATTGTTGTATGTATTTCTTTTAATTTTTTTTAAATAGTTTTTAAATGTAAGATCATGTAACTGTCCCGGTTTTTAAATACAAGATTTGGTCTATTAGAATTAAGAATAAAAATTGCTAAATATACTTATAAGATTGAGATTGAAATACTTAAATTATGACTGCAACAGAGAGAATAATGGGTAGTAGTCAATAGGAAAATTGTGATTTATCATAGAAATCACCGAACTTATTGAGAAAAATCGGCAATTAATCGCGTTTTGGTGCACGATTATCATTTCTATAAAGCACGATTTATCGACATTTTTTTAGGGATTTAGAGGACATGAGTAGTGACCTATCGACTACTATTATTCAATCATGCATTAAAAAGACTTAGAAAGTCTATCAACACTTTGCATCTTCAGATGAAACTTTTATTTGTATTATAAATGTCTACACTTGTATCATCTATATATATCCAAGAAAACTTCTTCTAACCGTAAATTCTATATTTTAGATCATAAATACGATTTGCAGCCATTTTGTCGTTAGTAGAAAGGATCAATCTTTGTCACATTAGTTTCCGTTACACATAGTTCATGGTCGAAAAAGCAATAGAAAACTAATTTTACTAATTTATTTTTCTCACAATTACAAAATTTTTATTTCTGCTAGCAGATTTCATAGTGAAGAATGAATTGCAAAATGTCCTTTCAATCAGTTGTTGATAAAACAAGTTTTCTGGAAGAAAAGAAATAGCTCATAGTATGCACAGCATCAGGAATTGTACAATAATAGAATAATTTTTACAATGTTAGGTGAAGATTTTTTTGTTCTGTCAATCTGGTGAGCATAGAATGTTCTTTATTCCATTCTATTGTCACCTGACCTTGCATCGTATTCGTGTGTATTGTCTAACTCAACTCTCAATTCGCTATATATTGTTTGACAAAATTCTGGCTGACAAAAATATTTGTTTCGATAATAACTTGTTGAACATCTATCTGTCATCGTTTCTGAAGAAAGAAAATGCTGAGTTTTCTGGAATACAGAAATTATGAAAAGAAAGTTTTCACAGAAATCGAAATTTACTTTTCCTGATTTTGATCAAATCACAATTGTTTTTGGCTCGTGCAGCATTTATGAGATTTTGTTTTATAGAAAATACGAAAACTATCAAACAACAGACGTGATGTACGTTTTACATCATAGAACCGATGAGTAATAGAAGGACGAGATTAGCAAGTGGTAATTTTCCTTTGATCTTCGAATGACGTGGCTGGATATTACCCATGCACGTCAATAACATACGTTTTGCTGTTCTATTAGTACGCTAGGAGAAAGAAAAAAAGCTAAACAAACACCTGTGTATATAAATACTGTTTCTTACAAATGTGTCAATGTCTATTGTCTATTACACATTGATGATGTTTATCATATTAACGCTTATTTCTGTCGGTCTACTCGTATTATATGTAAAATATAAATATTTTACTTCTCATCGTCAAATTCCAAGTTTACCAACACATTTTTTATTTGGAAATTTACTTCAATCGGGACTATTACGTGGAGCTTCTCTTCTACAAGTTTATACATCGTTCAAAAAACAACTTGGTGATATTTATGAGATTAGACTCGGATTTTTACATGAAATAGTCGTCGGTGATATAGATGATGTGAAGCATATTTTTACTCACCGACATATTTATGATCAAAGTGATTGGATAGTGGAATTCATGAGTGTTTTTATACCAGATAGTCTCATTACTCTAAAAGGTAAGATCTATTTATTTGATTACTTCGAAGAATATATTTTCTATGAATTAAAGGTGCTAAATTCAAACGACATGCTTCAATCACAATGCCCCTATTTCGTCATGGAAAAATTCTTTCAAACTTCGATTTGATTATTAATTGTACGGACGAACTTTTGAATAATTGGCGTTCAACTTCTTCAGATCACATTCATTGTGATATTTTACAACAATGTCAAAATCTTCTACTGGAAATTTTTGGATTCATTGGTTTTGATTATGATTTCGATACACTTCGTGGTACAAAGAGTAATGAACTTACACTAGCATTAAGAAACTATATCGACACTATGGAATTAGGTGTCTATTTATCAGCTTTTCTTTTCAGTGCCTATTTGAAATTAAGTCCGAAATGTCGACGAGCTCAAAGGACAATTAAACGATATTTATATCGAATGATGGAACAAGAATTAACTGAAACTCCAGAATCGAGAGCCCAACGGAAGAAGACATCATTAATTGCTTCATTGGTCGCTTCATTACAAACGGATGAACAAGCAGAAGAAAGAAAAAGTGAAGAGGAAAAAACAGGTAATCAAAATTTGATCTACTCTTCCGAATGTACATCCGCTGGTTAAATTGATAGTAAACAAAATAAAACTTTTATGAAATTTAATGCGTCAAAAAGTATCATAGTGACTTGTCGTAATTTTGATTGTGTACATTAGAGTTAACGAGTTTCAATATTTGTGTTTTTATTGACAGGTCTAATACGGCGTGAAATATTAGGGGAGATGCTTATGTTTCTTGTCGCTGGTTTTGAAACAACATCTACCGCCTTGGCATGGTCGATTCATCTTCTTAGCAAACATCCGAAAGTACAACAGAAGATTAAGGCAGAACTGATTAAAGAAAATGTTCATCATGATTCGATTTTACATCGACTTGATTCACTTGTCTACTTGGATTGTGTTGTCAAAGAAATCTTACGTTTTTCTCCACCTCTCGATGCAGCGATTCGAACATTAACTATGGATGATCATTTACCAAACAGTGGTATTCAATTGTACAAAGGTGATCTAATAATTATTCCAATATGCATTCTTTCAAGAGATCCACGATATTGGTCGATCGATCCTGAACTATTCTATCCAGAAAGATTTTTAGGTGAAGACAAAAATCATAGTCCTTATGCTTTTCTTCCATTTGGTAATGGTCATCATCAATGTATTGGACAAGATTTGGCACGATTTGAACTCAAAGTTATTGTAGCTAGACTAATGCAACATGTTACATTCATTGATGGTGGTCCTGAAGTGAATGCTGGTGGACGTGTACAAGGATTGACTGTCACACCCAAATATGTCGGTGTTAAAATTAAGTTCGATTCAGAAATTTAAATAAAACTTCATTTTTAATTGAGAACTACAACTTAATCACTTCATCAAGGCGAGAAAAACTTCACTCGTCCCGTCAAGGTCGAATTCTTTCGTTTATCTATACCCTTAATTTGAATAGTATCAAAGTCATACGGTAATATTTGTATGTGAATATCGAGATTCATGATAAACAAAATATGTAGACAACATTCTTCATGATGATCAATTACCCATTTCTTCTGACGGGTAAATTAAAGAAGGAAAAAGGAATCGCTGATCCGATCGAAGTACAACAAATGAAAATGCATGCGAAAGAAGAGGAACGATATGTCATTGAGAAAAAAGAATTCGTGAAAACTTGAAGATGAGCCAGACGGGTGTAGTTGGGTGTAGGGTGGGTCAGCGTAAAGAGAGCTTCTACAACTACATCCAGACCCGCAATTACCCCAACAACCATACTCACACCGCTCAGGTTTGACAACTCTCGATTTTTCAACCATGAACTCACTCGAAATTTGTAAATCGAAAATATCCACAGTTATTCAGCAGAGTAAAGTGAAATTGTAGCTGATAAGTATTAGTGGCATAATTATATAGTATTGGAAATGATCTCATTGTTTTGATGGCTCTTTATTTTTATCTTTCATCGAACTACATATGAAAGGTGAGCTTGACATTTTTGTTATGTATTTGCATCTGTTTATGGACGATTCTGCTTCATTTGAGTGTAATAGCTTTTACCAAAGCGGGCATTTGAGACATGAGTGGCCAAAGTTGGTCTATGGGTGGGATGTGAGGATAAGTGTGCGCTGGCTGGTGATGTGGAATTTGTGTAGATCGACTAGTTCACTACTTGTTATGCCCACTTTCGTCAGCGAGCTCGTTCGTTTATTCCAGGTATTCGCCGACTATAAAGACTGGAAAAAAACTAATCTGGGAAGCACGATACAGATTCAGAGTGTGAATGTAGAGAATGATTACAGGAGACCGATGTTTAATAGACAACGATGGTGAACACATAAAGAAGGGCGATTGAACAATAGAGAGTAAGAGATAAAACATGTATGACAGGTTCACAGATGCAGAAAGCATGCTGGCAATCGATTGAGCAAAGAACAGTAAACGAGAACTGGAATATCTACTATATGTGAGCTTTTGGGTGGGTGTCGGTTTAGGTATGAGTGTGAATGTATATCTATACCCACACCCACATCCATACCTGCATCTTGCCAAAAATTGTTTTGCATGCCACTTTTCTTTGCATGGAAAGCTGTTGATGAAGGATGAAAACATCTGTTACGTGTATGGAAATGGATTCCTAAGAACAGTATAGGACGACAAGCAATTACAAGACGTCAACAGGAATTATGAAAGGTTTCTAGCTACGATCAGAAATCACAAGGAACTAACAAAGGTTATCAGGAACTCTCAGGTACATCGGTTGACTATCGGGAATTACTAGGGACTCCTAAGAACTACCAGAGTTTCCACGACCGTAAAAGAAGCTATCAGTAATGCCAAGGCAACAACAGTAGCAACTATTTTTAACTAGCACGAAGGTCAACCGACTCTGACACCCACCCTAGCCAGTAGCACGCGCTGAGACACTGCCAAAGCTATTCATACAAATGATACAAATGAAAGTATTCTATGACTCCTTTATCTGAGTTACTTTAAAAATCAATTCCCTCTGGCGATCAGCAAACCATGCCTCACAAATACCATTAGAAACCGTCAAATAAATGGAACAGAAGAATTTTCAACCCGCACTGTATTTGTAGGCTTAAACTGAATCTTTGAACTTTCAGCCTTGCATTATGACGGTCTTATTGAGCTTGGTGAACCTCACACATCCATACAAATCTAATATTTCATGAAGCTTCAGAAACGCGTAATGCTCTCCAAACCAAAGAAACACGCATCATTGGATGAAATGATAAAAGCTGCGGATATGTGCTATGTGTCACTGCATCGTTTATAAATTTGAGCGGTCAATTTGTGGGCCCTCTCAAATACAATCACAACAGCCTCAATTCATGCGCAAACAAACACCAATACACTCCTTGATAAAAGCGCAATTTCAGCCACAGCCGCCCTTTGATGCCTTCAGCTGCATTGCTCAACTGGCTTCAGGCATACAAACACATACTCGCAGTTTCCAAAATCAGTTTAATGCAAAAAGATTCCTCAAATTCGAGAATACTATCGATGCCAGCGAAGCCAGTTGCTAATGAGCCTTCCACTCTGCAAGCATTATTGCAGTATCTCACAACAAAACACCATTTTGAACAGCCAACCGGACTGACAACATAGACACTCACGTCAATACTTCGAAATACACTAAAATTAAGCTCACGAGGTAACATTCCCAGGTGTCGAAGCGCTATTCAGTCGGAACTTAGTAGCATTTTGTAGACCTTCGTGAGCTATGTTTACCATAAAAAAAGTTCCTGTCCATGGTCTGTTTCTAAGCAGATCGAGCGTTTTAGCTTTATATCTGAATATTTCCAGTGTATCTCAACCGCATTGTACACAAGTGATCTCCGATTTTGATGAAATTTTCAGCGTTTGTAGAGCTTTTAATTCTGAGCATTTTGATAAAAATAAGTTTTCAAAACGCTTTTGTTTTAATGGAGATACACTCAAAATATTCAAGGCAGTAAAAAACTCTGAGAAAAAGTTTTCGTGACCGTTTTTTCGGTTTCTATTAGTCACAGTATTTTGAATGTATCTCCATTAAAACAAAAGCGTTTTGAAAACTTGTTTTTATCGAAATGCTCAGAAATAAAAGCTCTACAACGCTGAAAATTTCATCAAAATCGGAGATCACTTGTGTACAAAGCGGTTGAGATACACTGGAAATATCCAGATATAAAGCTAAAAACGCTCGATCTGCTTAGAAACAGGCCATGGTAAACATAGCTCACGAAGATCTACAAAATGCTACTGAGTCTCGACTGAATAGCGCTTCGACACATGGGAATGCTCCCTCGTCACCAGATAGACTGATTTCTCACAACAGGTAATACGAGGCGTTATTATAGATGCTTATTTTTACAGATCATCCCTTTCTTCGGGGTGTGGGTGTGGGGTGTGGGTGTTCGTCTTCTCTTAAGCCACATCCACACCCACCGACACCCACACCCACACCCACACCTGTTGGCGTCAACAGATGTCACATTATGACGCTAACTTATGTCCAGTGTATT